CAAAATACTGTTATAATGTATCGATCTAGAGACTCAATCGCTAGACGTAAAATTTTTTAAATCGTGAAAAATATGATGAGTTACCACAAATCTTTTTTAAATGTGTAATTAGCCACCCATAAATTTACCCTTTTAATAAAATAGGTGTAGAGCTTTATTAAAAAGATGGTTTTGGTTTATGAAAATGAGATTAAGTTTGGGAGTCGATTACGTGTAAAGAAAAATTAGCATTCCCACAATGATCACCATTCTTTCAAATTCTTCGATAAAAAGACAGAATTCAAATATAGTCTTTTCATTTAAGATTTATCATAAAATTCTTTCAAAAATAATAAAATGACATTTTTTGTAAATGATAATCATTGATGACTTTTCAAAATCTAGGCAGAGTACCAACAATTATACTTCATGGAATGCTATTTTAATTTTATTTACATAAAATTAAAATTTTAAGAACTTTTTAAACAATAAAAAAATAAAAAAATATATAATTAATATTGAACATCAATAATTAAAACAAACATATATATGCGTTGCAAATGAACACATTAATCTAAAAAAAGAGACATATGCAAATGATAATAAAAAGTGAATTTTTTAATTGAGTTTTCAAATATAAAGAGACCATCTAGACTTTATAACTTCTAGGCAGAGTTTAGATGCGACTATTTATATTTAAAATCCTATTCTATAATTTTTTATTGTTTTATGTTTTTATATTTTTTATTTTGAATAAACAAATTTATTTTAGGTTATGAAAATGTATGAAAATTCCTAATGAAATAAAATTTTCTAAATACTTCATCATCGAAGCAGCATTCAAAAATAAGTTATTTCACAAAAGGTTTTCATACAAATATTTAAAAGTTTAACATGATTTTGGGGTCTTGGAACTTTAGGTTTTAGGTTTTTAGTTAGGATTTCATCTAGGGTTTTGAGTTTTATGGTTTAGGGTTTCACTTAGGGCTTTTAAGTTTCGCTTAGGGTTTAAAATTTCACTTTGGGTTTTATTTTAGATTTTCATTTTAGGATTTCACTTTAAGGTTTCAATTTAGAGTTTTGTTTTAGGGTCTTGCTTAGGGTTTTAGGGTTTATCTAAGGTTTAGTGTTTTAGATTTTAATTTTAAGATTTTATTTTACAAATCTATGAGCCTCTCTAAAAATCTCTAACATCAAGTAGATTTTCTGAGCAAGCTCGTTTTTCATAATTTTCTAAAAAAATAAATTTTTATATTTTAAAAATTTTGTTATTATTATTGTTGTTGTTATTGTTGTTGTTATTATTATTATTATTATATATTAATCTTTTATTTTTTTATTTAATAATTCTCCTACATTTAGGCGAAATTTTTTTTTATTTCAATTTTGAATCCCTCAAATATCTAGGCAGGATTTTTTTTTAATTTTATTATTGTATTATTATATATTTATTAGTTACTTTTATTATTATTTTTAAAAATCATGATTGCATAAATAAATTTAAAATGCATTGATAATGAATTATATCTCAAATAATTTACAACATGGAAAAACTTAAATTGTACTTAAACAATATATAAATGATATGCATGAACATAAATGGTATAAAGTATGCATGAAAATGAACCTTATAAAAAAAATAAACCAATTTTCAACCCCACATTTTAAATCTTCATCTATGAAGTTATAAAAACTTTCTATCATGGATCTTCACTACCTAAGTTGTATGCAATACTCACATCCCCAACAACCCACACGTAAGAGTAGGAAAGCAACAATGAACCACGCACAATGAAGTAGTGAAGTTTTGAACTTTCACTCATAAGCTATACGTAAAAAGTTTTGAAAATATGAACTAGTCACAAATGAAGTAGCAACTTGTTCATACCTAATAATCCCTTCCATTTAACTTTAAAACCATATAATAAACCCTAAACATTACACCTAGTTTTCACAGCAACATAGCATGATACTATGCTTTGTTTTTTTGAAAAATTTAATCTTTAAATCACTTATGGTTTAAAAAAAAAAAAGCAATCTTATTTCATCATATATACTAGAAAACTTAAACTCAATGATGCATTTTAAACCTTTAAGGGCAGCGGACTATATGTAGAAAAAAAAAAGAGAAAAAAACCAAAATACAAATCATTCATTCGTAGAACCATAAACATAAACAAACCTTCACCAAATTTAAAACTCTCATACATATTCCAACACTCACTATTTGTCCTTATGCTTCCATCATTTGTATATGATTATTTAGAGAAAAGAATAAACAAAAATCGTCAAACATAAAAGGATAAGAAGACAACAAGCTTTTGAATGTCTACTTCAACAAAGTACCAACCGATTCAATTTTTTAATACCAAACTCAAACAGAAAAAAAATCATAGGACAAAAGAGAAAACTATTACCTTTTTCATCATTATCCTTAGTATTTTTTTTTACTTCTGTTTATGGTTGCCTGAAGGTCCTTTTCTTATCTGATTTTTTTTATTCTCTTCTTACTGCTATATCTTTGTATCTAGTTTATCTTTTTTATGTTTTCTACTGTTTTCTTTTTTTTTGGTTTCACTATAGGTTTTGCTTGTCATTTTTCACATTTGTTGCCTTTTCATGTATTGCCTGCTATAGCTTTTTTTTTTTTATGCTTACTTGTTTCCTTCTCTTCTACTATTTTCATGCCTTTCCTACTTTCTCTCTTTTTTTTTTCCTTCTTTGTTTGCTTTACGTTTTTTCCTTTTTATTTTCTGGTTCACCTAGTTTTTGTTTGTTTTTTCTTATTTGGTGCAGGTTTTTTATTTCACATTTTATCCTTTTTCTTTCACGTTTATCTTATTTTCTGAATTTTTTCACCTTTCTCTTTTCTTACTTAAATCGTTTCCCCATTCCTTTTACTGTCATCTTTCCTTTCATTTTTGTTTTTTTTTTTTGTTTCCTTGCTCCACATTTTTTCTTTGGTTTTTAACTGTCGCCTTTTTTTAAAAAATTATATAATTTTTCTATGCAGCCATCACATTCTCCTATTTATGCCAATTTTTATGCAATTACCTACTTTCACGTCTAGTTGCACCGCACCACACAATTTTCAAATGATTCCATGTACATTTCTTTTTAACTCCTCTTATGTGATGGTTATTTGCATATGGATTTTCATGCCAAAATTTTCAAGGTCAAATGAGCTTTTTTTCTTTTTTTGCCATGTTCAATAGCCCATTTAGGCATAAAATAATTTTTTTTTGTTGGGCCCAACCTTTGGTTTATTATTTTTTAATATTATTTACTGCTATTTATTACAATTGACTACTATTTTATTACTATTGTATTTTTTATTTAATGGCTAATAATGGTTTTTTGATGGGCTTTGAAAAAACCCTTTTATTAAGCCTTCTATTGGCCTATTTTAGCTCTTATACGGAGCACTTAAAATTGAACCGTATATTGGGCTCAAAAATAAAGATCAGGGTCCAGTTGCTAAACCTGAACTTGAGTTAAAGTGATAAAATATTTCAAATAAAATTAGGTATCTACAAACACTTGACAAGATCAATCCCTTCATTTATACAATCGATCCATTCATGCAAAAAGGAACCAAATTGAATTTGTCTATTCAAATGGGTTAAAGCCACATATGCTAAGTTTATGTTACATTTCTTTGACCTTTTGACTTTTGACATTTAACTTTTAATTTTTAACCTTTGACTTTGATTTTGACTTTGATCTTGATTTTTTTATTTTTTAAAACTAATAATAATAATGATTTTTGTTTGGAATTAAAAAAGGTATACATTATAAATATTTATTTAATTAAATATATTTTTTGCTACCTTGGAAATTGATAATTTGTTTTCAATGAATGAACTATTATTTCCCATTCAATTTCATTACTTTATAAATCTCATATGCACATATGTATGAAAACAATTCTTGATGTAATGCTTATGTGGTCAAAAATTTTGATTCTTGAAAATTTCTAATTTGCTTAATTTTTTTTTTTGGGTTTTTGTGAAATATTTTTTTAAATATGCTTACTTTTGACTTATTTCTTGAAATATTTTTGTTGTATGATGAACTACTTGTTGTAAATGAAATATATTGTTAGTTCATCTATTGTTCTTGTCAAGTGTATGCTTATAATATAAATATAATTTAGCTTGACTTGACATGCTTGCAAAATAACTTAAGTGAATGCATTTCTTAAACTATTAATTTTTACCTTAAGTCATTGTCCATTTTAACTTATGATTTGTGTAGACATTTATTTCTTTGTGCTAAAATTTTTTTGAAAATGTTTGGATGATAAATGTCTTCCTTATTGCTTTAAACTTTGTATATGGCTTAAAATTTATCTTGATATATTCTTTAATGATTTTTTGAATACATGAATATTGATTTTTTTTTTCTAGTGTTCATTATTTCTATATGGTCTAAAAGGAATAATTTTTTCACATTAAAACTTTTACTTTAGTTTTAATATTGTGATATTTGATGCTTAACTTGATAAATGACATTTAGTTTAAGTTTATATATAAATATATACATAATGGAAAAACTCTATAGAAAAACTAAGCATATAAAAAATTTCTCTATAGAATTATATAAGCCCCATAGGTTTATATACTGTTAACTAAATGGTAAACTAAGAAACGAATTTTTTTAATTATATTTTTCACTAACAATTCTCTTAAAAAAATTTTAATTTTTGAGATATTTTCACATAATTGTTTTCATTATTCTATAATTTTTTTATTTCATTTAAAAAATTAAAATTTTTATTAATTTAAATTAACAATTCATAACTAAAATAAATTAAACAAAATAAATAAATAAAAGGAAAGTTGAAAAAAAAAAAAAAAAACTCTTTTAAATTGGGCTTGCTCTTATTTAGTGATTGGGTTTAATCACTCAAGTTTGGGCCCAACAGACCAATAGTCGATCTTATGTTTTCCCAGGGATTTCTACTTTTTACACTGAAAACGACATCGTTGGAAGTCTTTAAAAGCCCTAGAAACCCATTTTATTTTCTCCTTACTCTTTGTAGCGTGCTTGTCCCCCTTCTCCTTAAAACTCAGCCTCTTTATCCTCTGGTTTTAACGCGGCCGGTGCCATATCCGTCGCCGGTGGCCTCCTGGTTTCCTTCTTTTTACTTTCACGGATTATTTTTCCCTTTTTTTTTTCTCTTTGCCCTTCACTTTGGCCTGTCAAACAGAAAAGCAAAAGGAATTGAGGAAGAAGAAAGAAGAGAAAATAAATGGCACAAGAAGCAGTGCAGAAGAACACGTTGTACGTGGGAGGACTAGCAGAGGAAGTGAATGAAGCAATTCTCCATGCAGCTTTCATCCCTTTTGGAGACATAAAGGACGTGAAGACTCCATTAGATCAGGCTACTCAGAAACACCGCTCCTTTGGCTTTGTTACCTTTTTAGAAAAAGAGGATGCTGCTGCTGCCATGGACAACATGGATGGGGCTGAGCTGTATGGTCGCGTCCTCACTGTCAACTACGCCCTCCCTGAGCGTATCAAGGGTGGTGAGCAGGGCTGGGCTGCTCAACCCAGTATGTACTTTAATCCCTTAGCTTTTCTTTCTTTTACCTCTCTGTGATTGAAAAGTTATTTCTACAGGGTAGTTGGGTTCAGCTTGAAGCTCTGGATTAGTTTGGCTTTTGATCCTTGAATATGCAGAAATTTGAACTTTGTGCATTAAAAAAAAATGGGCAAAAGGGGTGAGGTTGGGTTGGCATAAAAGAGATTGAGAGAGACATAGAAATCCGAAACACCTTCTCTTAATAGCATAAGTTTTGTCTAAGGTTTTTTGGGGGTTTATTTGAATCTATTCTGGATCCCTAAAAGATGGGAAATTTGTGTTAGTTGCTTACATTGAAATATCAAGACTTGGGAATAGGATAACCTCCACGATCAACAACTAGATCAAGAAACTTATTTTAAGAGACATATTCTATAATATTTACATTATTTTTTTCCTCATGTCTTTAACTGGAATATGTTTTCTTGAAATGTTTCTTATATGATTTGAAAACGAGATTCTCTGTCCTGGATTCTACATGAATGTTTTGGTTATGATAGATATTGGTCTCTTTGATGTAATATAGTCAAATCTTTTTCTTTTTCTTCTTTTAAATGCCACCTGAAACAATGTTTGCTTCGGGTTCTATATCCAATTAATTGTAAAATTGTTCTTGGATCTTTTGCTCCTGAGATTAATCCCCTATTTTGTACAACATGTAGTTTGGGCTGATGCTGACACATGGTTTGAGCGGCAGCAACAAGAAGAAGAAATGCAGCGTATTCAGGCAGAGAACCAAGCTGCAATGCGTGCTGCAGAGGAGTTGCATAGAAAGAAAATGGCAGAGGAACGAGAAGGGGAGAAGGAGGATGAAGCAGAGATCAAGGATGATCCAATGGTAAGGGCTGAAGCAGAAGTTTTGAAACAGAGTAACTAGTTCTTTGCTATTAAATTGAGCAAACATTAATGTTGTCTTTAAGGATGACCTTGTGAACTTAACTATCCAAAGGTTCAATGTAAGTCCTCTCTTAAGCTTGCGGCATACCCTGACCTTGGAATGGAATAGCCTTTCCTCATCTAAACTTTTTATTTACCAAAAAAAATACAAAAAGGATGACCTTGTGCACAACCTGTTTAGAATGATAGTGATCTTTGGAATGTTTTATGTTTCAGGGTTCATAACTTAGAATTTCTTCAAACTAATTGTATCTTGTAATATGTTAAAATGACTCCATGGATTTTGAATTATAAAGGAACTTTTGGGGAGTGCAAAACCTGAGCTGTGATTGCAACAATAGAATTTCAGGTTTTCCTTTGTTGTAATGCTTATCAGAGGATTAAAGCCGTTTCACTTTTTACTTCACAATAGAGAATCGAAAGTTTCACTTTTTTGAAAATTTGACCCCAAAATTGTCTTTGAGATTATAGATTCACCAAAAGAATGAGACGCACCTAATCTCACATTAAGAGATTGTGAGTAGTTGCTATAATATGCATGCAGGATTTGTTAGTAGTTGCTATAATATATATGTAAATTGGGGGGTTCATACACTAAGATTTTTTTTTAAAAAAAAAGAAAATTGAGATTTACAAATCACAAAGGATAATATCTTACAGGTTCGCATAATATCTTGTAGGTATGGTATGAATATTAAATAAAAAGAAATGCACGGGTTTGGATAATATCTTGCGGTATGGTATGAATGTTAAATAAACAGAAATGCAGGTATCGTATGAGGATATTAAACAAGAGGTATTAAAATCTCTTCGAGCCAGCGGTCAAAAAGAAAATCTCTACCATCCTTGAAAATTTAAGATTTTTGTCCTCCAACTCTTTGATGTAGTGATCAAGCAGCTTTGGGTCAGACATAAAAGGTTTTAACTTCAAATCAATATCTCTTCCCTTTCTCCCGTGGATTATGCCATCCTATGAAAGAAAGAAAAAAAAAAGGATTTTTTGAAGCCATTTTTAGTTATAATTTTTTTTTTTTATTGCCTTTTTGTCAACTTATGTCAATAATTTTTGTATTTTGTCAAAATTTAAAATTTAATCTATCTATTGTAATTTATAAAACATATTTCTCATATTATTTTAATTTAATAATTTTAATATAACTTTTGTCATTAAAAATACAGATGTGATCGTTGATTCGATGAGGTGGTATTTTTATTAGTGTTGATAAAATTATGCCAACAATCTTTGTATTGTGTTAAATTTTAAATTTTAATTTTTAGTAATTCATATTAATGTAATTTTTATATTATTTTGATTTGATAACTTTAATCTAATATTTAATTTCGTTTAATTTTTATTGTTAAAAATGCTGATATGAGTATTGACCTAATGATGTGGCCATTAATTTTGCTTATGTGACATTTTAAGTGGGGAATATTTGAACTAGTGTTGACGTGAATTAAATGACATGCCACTTGACCTAAGTTTTAATCCATGTCAAATTTAAATTTTTTATTTCTTTCTTAAAAACCTTAATAATTAAATTTCATTTCATTAAACATTAATAACTAAAAACGAAAAATAATAAAATTTGATTATCAAGGTTTTTTGTTTCTTTTTTAACTTAAAAAATAAAAAGAATAAAATTTAACTTAATAATTAAATTTTATTTTTTTAAAATTTTATTTTTTATAAAGTTTAACAAAATAAAATTTGATTGTTAAGGATTTTTAAAAAAATAAAAGTTCTAAATCTAATGTGGATTAAAAGTCAAGCCACATTGCATATCATTTAATCCATGTAAACATCGATCTCAATATTCACGAATTAAAATGTCATATAAGCAAAGTCAATAGTTACGTCTTCACGTTGCCTTTCACCTCTTGGCCAAGTGGCTAAGAGGTTTCAAGAAAAATATGTGGGTGTGACTTCTAACCCCACCATTTTCCTTTTTTCTTGTATGGGCGTTTGCTTTCTTATGAACTAAAAAAAAAAAAAATTACGACAATATTATCATTTTTAATGGTAAAAATTGGATAGAATTAGTGATTGAATTAATATTATCACATAAAATAATATAAGTATTAAATTTATATGAATTATAATAAAAAGATTAAATTTTAAATTTCGACAAAGTAAAAAGGTCGTTGACATATTAAAATGTCACGTAAACAAAATCAACAGCTACATCATTTGATCAAATGTCATGTTAATAATTTGTAACGACAAAAATTAGATAGAGTTATCGATTGAACTAATATTATTAAAACAAAATAATATAAAAATTTCATTTGTATGAATTACAGGAGATAACTAAATTTTAAAATTTGAAAATGTACAAGGACTGGTAGCATATCAAAATGGCATGTACACAAAGCCAACAGCCACATCATCTTATCAATAATCATGTCAATATTTTTAATGGTAAAATTTAGACAAAGTTAGTTCAATAACTAAGATTATTAAATTAAAATAATATAAAGACTTCATTTATATGAATTATAGTTAAGGGTAAAAAAATAAAACTTTCAATGCACTATTTATGAATATATTTGAGTTTCGTTCATTTTATTAAGTTTAATAAATGATCTTAAATAATATCTTAATATTCATTTAATAAACAAATCGAATATGAATAAAATTTTATTTTATTCATGTTTATTCACGAATAAACTCATTTAATTTTTATGAACAAATTCAATAAACATTTATTTATATTTTATTTTCATTCCTTCTAAAATGATTACTTTATGATTAAATATCTTTTGACAAGATTTTAATCATAATTTAATATTAATACATTGAACATTACACTTAACATATATTAAAAATCTTTCATAATGTTTTAACAAATATTATTATACATGTAATTTTTAATGGGCTAAAATGGACAATAAAAAAGTTATAAAAGAGACTTTTTGTTTATAATCTTTCCATCCTACATATCTTGAAAAATTAATGTAGGAAAGGAAATAAGTAGTCATGTCCCTTCACTCTTGAGAATTTAAGTCAATGGTTAGCAAGACCAATTTCTTAGTTATTAGTTTATGTTCGATTATATTTGTGTGATATATTTATTTAATGTTCATGAATAAATTTATTTAACTTAAACGAATCGATTTCAAATTGAACTCAAACATTTTACTATTTGAGTCTAAAAATAATATAAAAATATCTTACATAATAAGAACAATTCTAAAAATAAACAAATCACAAATATAGCAATATTGGTTTACACTAAAATTTTTAAGTTTTCACAAAGGACAGCGACTGTTGGCATATCAAAATGCCACATAAGTAAAATCGATACTATACCATCCGATCAGCATTTTTAATGACAAAAATTAAAATTAATTAGTGATTACATTAAAATTATCAAATCAAAATTATATAAAAATTTTATTTATATAAATTATAGTAAAGAAATTAATTTTTAAATTATGACGAAATAAAAAGATTGTTGGCATAATTTGACCTTTCCTTTTTTTTTTTTTTAAGCTGTGAGCCTTATTCTAGCATTAAACAAAAAAAAAGAAGCAATATCATTTAGTAATAAGGTGCTAAGGATATTCTGTTCTCTTTTTAACACTTTGAAAATACATTTTCTTGAGATTGAAATTTAGAGTATTATATTAGCTATTTGTTCATATCAAAATTGGAAAAATTAATTTCATAAAATGATAGATGAATCTTTTGTTTTTAGCGATAAAGAAACTTTGGAGGTAAAATGAAACGTTTTCCTTTTACTAAGGATATAACTGATGTAATATTAAATTCTTTTTTTTTTTTTGAATTATATATAATTAAAGATCACATTTAATAAGGCATCGAGTAAATTTTGAACATTTTAATCTTTACTAAATTGAAAAGATGAAATTAATTGATAATTATCAAATTTGATAATTTTAAATATAATATAATGATATAATATTAAAATGATAAAAAAAAATGAAAATAATATAATTTAAACAAAAATACAAAATTAATTTATAATTTTCGCATCTCATCTTTTAAATTGCTAAAATAAAAAATAACAAGTTCATAAGTAAATCCTCATGATTTTTAATCTGGTTTCCAAATCAATTTTTCAAAATTTTTATGCAATGAAATCTTTTTAACAAATATAATTAACATGATTGAATCAAATTGTTATATATGCTCTAATATCACATCAGTAAAAGCAGCTGTAATTTTCAAACATCAGGTGAAATGGAATAAAAGCACCAGTAATATGTAGGATACATCCAGCGTTTACTTTTCCCAGAACAGTGCCATTGGGTATAAAATTATAAAAATAAAACCCACTTTTGTAATGTTCAAACTTTATCCAGCAATGTGTAAAATAATAATTCTAAGGTTAAAACTTTGCAATATCTTGTGACAAAATTAAAAGAAAAGAAAGAAAGAAAGATTCTATCTTTTTGAAGCACTCAGTAAGATGTTTGTGTTATGAAAAAAAAAAAAAAAAAAGCTTGATTAAAAAACTTAACCTGGTCAGTTTTACATTTAATCCAACAGTCTACAGTTTTAAAAACAACAGCAAACACAGATTAAACTTCTCAAGAATACAAGCAAATGAAACACTCAACAACTTCCCCTGGCAGCCCAACAAAACAAACATCATTTCTATCAAATATTTCAAGTTAACTGGTCCACTATCTTCAATCAGGTAGAATTTGCTCACCATCTGCATCTGCTTCTGTCTCAACCTTAGGTTTTGATGGAGCTTGGCCAGATCCGGGAGCCTGCTTCTTCTTAATCCCACTTACAATGTCATCAATCCTTAGAAGCATGCAAGCAGCTTCTATGGCTGTCTTAAAAGTTTGTGCCTTCACATTGTATGCATCCCAAATCTGACAAACATTTTTAATAATTCATTCAAAAATGATCAATCAACTTGAAGTTAGTAGACACCAGAACATTTTAAATTAATCATTAAGCCAAAATCAGACACATAAAAAAAGCATTGACATGTTTTATAACTAAACTATGTATCAATGAAAGTAAACAAGAAGGAACACAAGGATGCATCCGATATCCAAATCAAGTTGACGCTTCCATCATCTTTCACCCACATGCTAGAGGGACACAAGAATGAAATTATACCAAGAAAATTGCAAATATCAAATTCTCTATCCTTGTTCTCTAACTAATTAAAAAGAAATGAGAAT